GGGGGGAGTGTCCGGGGGGCCCTGCGGCCGCTTGCCGCCATGGAGCGAGGGGAAGGGGGGCGCTGACGTACATGGCCAGGAGGCGTGGCCATGTACATCAGCATTACAGACGCACAGACACTGGGCTACTGTATATAAGATATGTTTACTTCCTCATTAGCATGTTGCCAGTATTTATGTAAAGGATGGAGATTATGATAATTATTTTTCAGCATTAAATTGTTTAACTATATTTGATCACATTTTTGAGGAAATCCAAGAGCCTGGCTGTTAATATCCCTCTAACAATGTCATTTCTTTAGTTCAGAACAAACTAGAAAGACTGTTTTGGAGGAGAAGAAGAAGGGGAAAAAGAGTGGGGCAGGAAGCAACCTTCTGCTTTAATTTTGATCAGGTAGTTTAATGTCTTAAATAATTTGGGGAGCCTCAGATACAGGGCCACTAATGGGAGGGGGAAGGAGCAGAGAAATCAAAAACAAACTAGACATCATATAGTGTAAATCTGTCTTAATTTGCTAAAATATTGGATGAATGAGTTTGCACAACTGCATTACTCCTGTGCTGAACTACTGTATGTAGAAAAAATTAGTGGATAGATAAAAATTATGTACTCTCACCCATGGAGGATCAACAGAACGGATATAAAAACAATTGTACAGAGTTATTGTGATTTCTGTATTCTTGGAATAAAATACTTGAAGGTCAGACTGTTAGTATTGTTTACAAATATTCAGTGAAAGCTTAAATGTCTCTACACCTTTGTGTCATCCTTTTAAGACAAGGGGGTGAAGAGAATCCTATTTAACAGTACCAATGAGTAAGGTAGAAGCTAGAGGGAAAATGCCCAATAAAAATATGTATAAAAACCATAAGGCAAAGTGAGAACTTGATGGCTAAGGGAGAAACACAGTCTACCAATTCCCAAAAGTCAATATATGAAAATAAGAACTACAAAGATGGTCTGTCTTTTCCTTTGGCCTTAGAGGTTCCTTAATCAAGACTTGTTTATAGTGTTTTAAACACTTGTTTTGTTTTTAGTTTAAAAATATCCATTGGCATACCGATATGCAAACATGTTCTTGTTTCAGTGAACTAAATATTACTTTTTATATTGAGGTTGATGTACAAGTTAGTGACCAATAAAAAATGTAACCATCACCATAAAAGGTAGATTGAAATACACTGTATGTACCCACTATTTTGTTACCCATCTTGGTTTGTTGTATAAAATTTATAGTTGTGATGAAATATCAGCCATTACAAGAGATAAAACTTTGAACTTGTCCTTGTGATGTTTGAAGAACCACTTTTTATTCAATAGTGCTGCGAGTTAGGAATCCTCAGTGCAGATATACATACTAAATTGACATATTTGACTGCCTAAAACTACTTTATTCCTCTTTCACAGATGTGAAATATAGCGGACACAATATTTTCCAAAAATAACCTTTATTAACACAGACTACCTATATTTTGCAAGCATTGTTACTCGTAAAATCACCTATGCGTCTCTCTGCTGTGCAGGCATAGCTCCATGACTGGTGAGAAAGAACTGGGCAAGTATGTTTAAAAAAACTGAGCTGGGGTTTACTTAAACAATTCCCCTCCCAATTTATAAATTATCCTGAATTAGCTTAAAAATTCTTAAATTATGAGTTGTCCACTAGCAATAGTACTTCCAACATCCCAGGGTTATTAATACAGTCAGTCCCCGACTTACGCGGATCCGACTTATGTCGGATCCTCACTTACGAACGGGGCTTTTCTCGCCCCGGAGCTCGCGGGCAGCGGGACCGCCCAGAGCGCAGCGGTCCCGCCACCGCATCCTCCGGGGCAAGAAAAGCTGCTCCGGGTCTTCCTGGTCTGCTGGGGCGGGGTGCACTAGCTGCGCCCCGCCCCCCCAGCAGACCAGGCTTTTGTTGTGGATGCATGGGGTAGAGCAGCTGGGGTGCTGCCAGGTTGGTCCTGGGGGGACCTACTCGGCAGCGCCCCAGCGGGTCTGT